GTAGGAGAGATGGGGCGTTGGTGAAAGCGTACAAGCAATTTTGATGTGTTGTTGGGCTTGGCCTCATGTAAGCCGCTCCGAGTCCCTTGGGGAGATGGTGGCGGGGTATAAATAAAGTTTTATTATTATTATTATTATTATTATTACTCCCAGAAATCCTAGCCAGTTTACCAGCTGTTAGGATTTCCGGGAGTTGAAGGCCAAAAAACATCTGGATACTCCACTTTGAGAACCACTGTCTTAATCATATCCAGAATGGACTACTTCAATGCACTCTACAGGGGTCTGTCTTTGAAGATGGCTCGGAAACTGCAGTTAGTGCAAAGGTCAGCAGCCAGATTACTAACTGGGGTTAGCTATAGGGAGCATACTATGCCCCTATTAAAGCAGCTCAATTGTCTGATAACTATCCGAAAAGAGTTTTCCTTCCAAAGGCATTAATCAGTATATATTATAGGAACCAAGTATTATAAGTAAGGTTATGTAAGCCATATACGCTTCAGGTGCAACCTATCTACGAGACCACATCTCTAAGATCTGCTGGGGAGGTCCTCTTCTTGGTCCCACCTCTGTCCCAAGTGCAGTTGGTGGCGACAAGAGACAGGGCCTTCTCTGTGTTGGCCCCCCGGCTCTAGAATGCGCTCCCTAAAAAGATGAGGTTAGCCCCCAGCCTTCAAGTTTTCAGATCAAATCTGAAAACATGGTATTTCAAGCAGGCATTTGACCATGTTTAGAGCCCTATCTGGTATTCTTGAGGACCTAAGTGATTTGTTCCATCCCAGCACCTTACTGCATTGATGTTAGTACAGTTTATTTTTATATCAGCAGTCATAGCTGCATTTTATTGTATCTTTTAAAGGGGTTGGGGATTTTATATGATGTTTTGTGTAATTTTTGATCCCTCGGTGGCGCATTGGGTTAAAGCACCGAGCTGCTGAACTTGCTGACCTAAAGGTTGCAGTTTAAATCCTGGGGAGCGGATTTAGCCCCAGCTTCTGTCAACCTAGCAGTTTGAAAACATGGAAATGTGAGTAGATCAATAGGCACCGCTCTGGCAGGAAGGTAACAGTGCTCCATGCAGTCATGCCAGCCACATGACTTTGGAGGTGTCTACAGACAACGCCGGCTCTTCGGCTTAAAAATGGAGATGAGCACCAACCCCCAGAGTTGGACACAACTGGACTTAATGTCAGGGGAAATCTTTACCTTTACCTTTATGTGGTTTTGCTATTGTGCTATTTTTCTTATGTATTTGCTGTATTATATGCCTGCACTGTTGAGTGCTTTTGTAAGCCACTCAAGTATTATTATTATTATTATTATTATTATTATTATTATTCCAATAAGCATAGGCCAATAGCTAAGGGGCTACTTGGGCTTTACTCTGTCTTTTAACTCATTCTCTTTTTTTTTTAAATCCAAGTGTGAAGGGTCAACTAATGCATGGCATGGGAGACCTATGACTAAGCCAATTAGTACCTATCTTTTGGTATGGGAGGGATTTAGATTGGCAGGAGGAAAAACTAGCCTCCCTATACCTCAACTGAAATCCAGAGTGTCCCCATTTAGTGAAAGAAAAAGACTGCAGGAGATCAATCACACGTGTTACTTCTAAATCTATCTTTTTTGCATCTACCTCCAACAGCTGAGCACCACAGGAAGAGTAGTCATAGTATATAATTTATTGTGCGACCATAGGTCATAACAACCATAAAGGGAAATGGGTTTGCTTTCAGTTTCTGCTGCATAGAGTTTAAAGGAAAATTAGTCCTGTGTTTCTTCACATGAATCAGAGTTGAAAGAGACCTCATGGGCCATCCAGTCCAACCCCCTGCCAAGAAGCAGGAAAATAGTATTCAAAACACCCCTGACAGATGGCCATCCAGCCTGTGCTTAAAAGCCTCCAAAGAAGGAGCCTCCACAACAGTCTGGGGCAGAGAGTTCCACTACTGAACAGCTTTCACAGTCAGGAAGTTCTTCCTCATGTTCAGGTGGAATCTTGTTTCAAATAGTTTGATGCCATTGTTCCTCGTCCTAGTCTCCAGGGCAGCAAGCTTGCTCCCTCCTCCCTATGACTTCCTCTCACTTCTTGATCCCTGGCCCTCATCGTGTCTCCTCTCAACCTTCTCTTCTTCAGGCTAAACATGTCCAGCTCTTGAAGCTGCTCCTCATAAGGCTTGTTCTCCAGATCCTTGATCATTTTAGTCACCCTTCTCTGGACACATTCCAGCTTGTCAGCATCTCCCTTTTCTGGGAGGTGCCCAGAACTGGACACAATGTGATTCCAGGTGTGTTCTGACCAAGGCAGAATAGAGGGAGAGCATGACTTCCCTGGATCTGGACACTAGATCACTGCCTGATCTTCTCTTCTCTAGCTTCCTAAGTTATTTCCCATCAAACAATATAATCCAACCTTCTTCTCCCAGTGCAGAAAATTCACAGAAGCATTCCTGTAATGATGTTGCTTCTAAGGGTTCCAGGAGAAGACTTTAAACCTTTACTGACTAGAAAAAGCACAACTGGGAGTGTCTTAAGGGCTCAACATCCATGAAAATACCACCGGGGGTCCTTCTATGGCCCTCGGGTTCCTTCCTTTACATATCCAATCCTTCCTAAGAGATTTTGACCCACCCACTTCCCATCTCATAGGGCTTGTTCTCCAGACCCTTGATCATTTCAGTCGCTTGTCAACATCTCCCTTTTCTGGACACAGTGTGATTCCAGGTGTGGTCTGACCAAGGCAGAATAGAGGGGGAGCATGACTTCCCTGGATCTAGACCCTAAACTGCTATTTATGCAGGCCAAAATCCCAATGTTTTTTTTTAACTGCTGGCTCATGTTACTCTTCCTCCCCAGGAGGACTCCAAGATCTTTTTCAGCCATCCTGCTGTTGAGCCAGACATTGTCCCCCATTCTGTATCTCTGCACTTCATTTTTTTCTGCCTAAGTGGAGTCTCTTGCATTTGTCCCTGTTGAACTTCATTGTGTTAGTTTTGAATTCTACTCTTGTCTTCTGCAGTATTACTTCTCTATCCCAATTTGCTGTTGTTCTGCACATAAGAAGAGCAGAAGCATGTAGCTCTAGGGGACAAGGCCATACATGTTTAAATTGATATGTTAATTGTTTAAATTGATATGTTATGTTTATTATTATATGTGTAATGCGGCATTGTATGCCATGGATTGTAAGCCACCCTGAGTCCTCCACTGGGGTGAGAAGGGTGGGGTATAACTATAGTATAATAATAATAATAATAATAATAATAATAATAATAATAATAATAATAAAAATAATACATGGAATTCCTGCCTCATATGTTCATCTCTACTGAACCAGGTCTCAAAGTGTCTGTGGTTCATCTTGTTTCATTACACCTCATTTCTGATCCCAAGCATTTTGGGCAAGGAATACTTAACCTTTACCAGTCACATTTATTTATTTATTAACAGTATTTATATTCCGCCCTTCTCACCCCACAGGGGATTTGGGGCGCATTACAATGCACATATACATGGCAAACATTCCATACCATTAGACATACAACATATATAGACACAGAGGCCATTTAACATTCCAGCTTTCCGGCTTCATGAGGGTATGCTCGATTCCGGCCACAGGGGGAGCTGCCTCTTCACTGTCCACTTGTGATACCGAGTCCTTGATGTAGTACTCCCTCATTCTTATGCATGCTGCTGGAAGGTTTTATGGTGTCGTAAATTAGTTAAATTAGCCTCTCTACATAAAGTGAGCCTTCTCGGTGGTGGCCCCCCGACTCTGGAATTCACTCCCTAAGGACATCAGACATGCCCCAATGCTGGCTGTCTTTAGGAGGAGCCTGAAAACATGGTTGTTCCAGTGTGCCTTCCCAGAATAGGAAAACCCTTAGCAATATGTCCTCAAATGCACTTTAATATTGACTTTTGGATTGTCTGTGCGCCCTCATCTTTCTTTGAAAACCCTATCCTAGCTTACCTTACCTTGTTCATACCCAGCATTCTAAATTTTAATTATTACATTTGGCCCGGCCATTGGTTTTTAAATGCTGTATGTTATTGTTATTGATATTGCTTATTGCTTATTGTGTATTTTTTGATTTTGAGTTTTATTTTATTTTAACTGTTTTGTATTATTTGTTGTTGCCTTTGTTTATTGATGTGTTGTGGGCTTGGCCTCATGTAAGCTGCACCGAGTCCCTTGGGGAGATGGTAGCGGGGTACAAATACAGTTTTATTATTTTATTATTTTAAATTTCCTACTTGACAGATGCAACTGTCTTTCGGGCTGCAATAGGTTAACAGTAAGCTAGACTATTAATGGTCGGGAGCTCACTCCAACCCGGGCTGGCTTCGAACTCATGACCTCTTGGTCAGTAGTGATTTAATGCAGCTGGCTACTAACTAGCTACGCCACAGTCCTTTCATTGGGCTTTTTTATTTTGTTCCCTGTTCACAAATAAAATTGTGTGAAGCCACATTGGTTCCACAACAGAGCTTAAAGCTGTAACTTGACCTGCTGTTGCAAGTGTCACTCTGAGCTAGTTTTAGTACATTTTTCCTTGAATGTAGGACTGGCTAGGACCCAAACAATCCTGATTTCTTTGCTGTGTTTTATTTACTGAGAGAGGAAAATACCCTGTTGCATTTGTGGCAATGTTTCCCCACTGAATACAATGTAGTCTGCATCTGGGATCTTAATTTAGAGGAAATGCAAATGGCTTCTTTGTTATCATTTGTTGGATGTCATATTTGTTGCTATTCTGGTTTCTTTGTCAGTCTGATGAAGGTATCGGATGTTCATGTTATTATTATTTTTTTGAGAACTCATAAATTTGTTTACTGTGACAGGTAGTATCATTCGAAATGTTTTTCTTACACATTTATGTACCTGTATTGCAAATTGAGGCTGCATTTTGTTTTCAGAATGATACTGTTATGGTTATTTTGCTGAGACCTCATAATATCCATTACTTCCTTACTGATATATTTGCATGTTTCTGCAGAAACCAAAGCCTAAGCCACGGCCATCTATCACCAAGACGACATGGGAGAGCAGTTATTTCGGGGTGCCTTTGACCACTGTAGTGACACCAGAGAAACCAATTCCCATTTTCATTGAGAGATGTATCGACTACATTGAAACAACAGGTAAGATTTGTTTGTACCAAGAAGTTGCCATTGAACACTGATCTTGGGTAAAATCAGTTTGGTTAGCTATTATCAGTTCTGAAAACAGAGCCATTCATAAAAGAGTTTGACTCCATTTGGCAAGAGGTCTAAAGATAGATAATATGTTATTTAGTAGATAAAATATTTTTGCAGTTGGCCTTGTTTTGACAGAGTAACATGCATACTTTGGTTCAAAAATGATATCTTGGTTCTATATTTTATCTTATTTTGGCAAAGATGACCAATCTGTCAGTGAATGTCTTAGAAAAATGTGTTTTTGCTGTCTCTGGTGTATTGTTTCTCTAAAAACAAAAGCACTTTTGCATACACACAACTTCTTTCAAAGACTCAATAATTCTGGGGTTGAACACTTTCTAAATACCATATATACTCAAGTATAAGCTGACACGAATATAAGTCGAGGCACCTAAATTTACCTCAAAAAGCTGGGAAAACATTGATTCTCGAGTATAAGCTGAGGGTGGGAAATGCAGCAGCTACTGGTAAATTTCAAAATAAAAATAGATACCAATAAAATTACCAAAATAAAAATAGATTACCAATAAAATTACATTAATTGATGCATCAGTAGGTTTAGATAAAACTGTCCAATTGCAATTAAACCATTATTGTAACCTTCTGCAATGTAAATGTGCTTACATATCCTTCCAATAATAATAAAGAGTAAAATAATGGAAATGTAATAACAGTGATAATAAAGTATAATAATAAATGTAATAATAATAATAGAGTAAAATACTAAATGTAATAATAAAGAGTAAAATAATAAATGTAATAATAATAATAGAGTAAAAATACATGTAATAAGAGTAGTAAAATAATAAATGTAATAATAATAATAAATAGAGTAAAATAATAAATGTAATAATAACAACAACAATAAAGTAAAATAATAAATGTAATAATAATAATAGCGTGAATAATACATGAATAAGAGTAGTAGAGTAAAATAATAAATGTAATAATAATAATAAATAGATTAAAATAATAAATGTAATAATAATAGAGCAAAAATATATGTAATAAGAGTAGTAGAGTAAAATAATAAATGTAATAACAACAACAATAAAGTAAAATAATAAATGTAACAATAAAGAGTAAAATAACAAATGTAATAATAACAACAATAAAGTAAAATAATAAATGTAATAATAAAGAGTAAAATAATAAATGTAATAATAATAGAGTAATAAGAGTAGTAGAGTAAAATAATAAATGTAATAATAATAATAATAAGTAGAGTAAAATAATAAATGTAATAATAATAATAGAGTAAAAATACATGTAATAAGAGTAGTAGAGTAAAATAATAAATGTAATAATAATAATAAATAGAGTAAAAATAAATGTAATAATAATAACAACTACAACAGAGTAAAATAATAAATAACTAGGACTCAAGTAGAAGCAGAGGGCGGCTTTTTCAGGCTAAAAAGGGGGCTGAAAAACTCAGCTTATACTTGAGTATATACGGTATGTCTTTTTCATCTTATTTTCTCCATTGACTTTAATAGTCAGGATAAATAGTTTATTATAGAAACAGAATTTGAAAACTATGCCTGCTGTTTTGTAGGTGTCTAAATTAATGCTGTCGAAACTTGAACAGCCTGTAGATAATGTAGGTGTTTGCCTCGTGCATCACAAGTGTGTCTGCCTTTTGCTGACTCCTCCAACGAGGATCTTGTGAGATCAGAAAGATGATTCCACATTACATGGAAAGCTGCTTCCTTTTGCTGCTTTTAGCAACAACACTAACATATTCAGACAGTCATGTATAAATAGCTGCGACAACAAGGGGGCTTTTTTGTGTCTGTGTTCCTTCATTCTGTTTCCCAACCAGGAGAATGAAACACCTTCTGAATGCTTTCATATTCTCCTGATTTCCTGGTCCTTTCCCCCCATGACTCTGTAGAAACCGACGTATCTTTTGACAAGTTGACAGGTTGTATTATCAAGACCTCAGCCACAGGCAGAGAAAAGTTAAAGCAGAGTGAGGCAGACAAAACTATTCTGAATTCTTCGGCATTGCGTCTTATATTTGTGGAAGCCAGCTTCGGATTTCTAGGCAACCGTCTTGCATTAGGCTGAATAAATATTTCAAATTCCTGAGTGTCAGCAAAACATTTGATGGCAGGCAAGCTGAACACCTTTTAGTCTGTTTTGCTTGGGCACAATACTGAATGCTTGCACTAAGAGAACTTTAATCACTTCCTGTTGTTAGGACCGTGTTTTTGAAATCTTAAAAGTACTCTTACATCTTTCTGATTAGACTTAAAAGAGTATTGAGAGCTCTGGCCTGATATTGTAATGTGAACCAGCTGCAATTCAACTACCCAAGAACTAAAATCATGGTGTTTGTCAAAAGACCCAAGCTTCACCTCTTGAGTTAAGATGGAAGCCAAATCAAGCAGGTTCCATGCTTCCAATATCTGGGGATAGTCCTCCATTCCTCCAGCAGCAGAAAAGCCTATGGAGACCATATGGCAGAGGTTGCACAAACGAGCTCCTCTGCTATACAAAAATATCACAGGTCAAGAGGGGGACACTACATACCCACCTCAGAGTTTAAGATCTTCTGGGGAGGCCCTGCTCTCGGCCCCGCCTCTGTCTCAAACACGTTTGGTGGGGACGAGGGACAGGGCCTTCTTGGTGGTGGCCCCCCGCCTGTGAAACTTACTTTAGGTCATCTTCATCCCTCCTTTATCCATCGGAAGAGCTGCAAGACTGAGAACAAGCCACAAGAGTCAAGAAAAGATCCACCCAGAGGAAAAGTGTTCTTGCCATACATCAAATGAACCACTGGCCACATAGGGAAGCTGATGAGGAAACACAACATACAAATTATCTACAGACCCACCAAGAAAATCCAACAAATGCTACGTTCAGCAAAGGACAAGAGGGATCCTCTCACGTTCTGCAGGAGTCTACCGTGTACCATGCAGCTGTGGACAAGTCTACAGAGGGACCACCAAACGCAGTATTGCCCAAACACGAATCAAGGAACATGAAAGGCACTGCAGACCGATTGAACCAGAAAAGTCACCATAGCAGAGCACCTGATGAACCAACCTGGACACAGCATATTATTTGAGAACACAGAAATGCTGGACCACTCTCACAACCACCATGCCAGGCTACACAGAGAAGCCATTGAAATCCACAAGCATGTGGACAATTTCAACAGAAAGGAAAACCATGAAAATGAACAAAATCTGGCTAGCAGTATTAAAAACTCTAAAATTACAACAGCAAACAACAGAGAGGAAACAAACAAGGACATCTAATCACCTCTCAACAAAAGTTTGCTCCAGGCACAGTCAGGCTATTGTATGCTAATCAAGGTGGTCAGTTGAAACATTCACACCTAGCTCTAGCAGACAAGAGTCCTTTGTCCCACCCTGGTCATTCCACAGATATATAAACCCTTTCCTAGTTCCAACAGACCTCACTACCTCTGAGGATGCTTGCCATAGATGCAGGCGAAACGTCAGGAGAGAATGCCTCTAGACCATGGCCATATAGCCCGAAAAAACCTACAACAACCCAGTGATTCTGGCCATGAAAGCCTTCGACAATACATTATCAATTGTCCTTTAACTTGATTGTCCAAAGGCCTGGTCCCACAGCCACGTTTTAACCTTTTTTCTAAGTGAGGAAGGATGACAATGACCTAATTTCCCCGGGGAGCAAATGCCACAGGCGGGGGGCCACCACTGAGAAGGCCCTGTCCCTCGTTCCCACCAAGCGTGTTTGAAACAAAGGCGGGGCCGAGAGCAGGGCCTCTCCAGAAGACCTTAAGCTCCGAGGTGGGACGTAGAAGGAGATACGTTTGGACAGGTACGCTGGACCGGAGCCGTAAACGACTTGCAGTTCCTCAAGTCTCTCCTGACATAAAAAAAGTCTTCTATCTTAAAACGTAAGATTTGCAACAGGAAATGTATGGTATAAGTGGATTGGATTGGAGAGCTTGGGTTCAGCCAGGCAGCTCTCCCCACAGGTCATTGGTGAGCGACTGACACAGCCCTAAACTTCTTGGAAGAGAGATAGCATGGTGCTTTCAATAGTGCTTAAACCTTTGCACTTTTAATCACGACTCCTGCAGACAAAAACCGAATAGTTACTTTCCAGCAGTGGCTCCGTCCTAGTTTGAAATCTGGCCTCGCCCAAGTCGTAGTCTTTCAAACTTCGCTTCTCATCAACTCACCTCTTTGCTGCATCCATAATTGATATAATGTGCCTAACTCTGGAAGTTCAAACAGAATATGGATTCTTTTTATCCCTTGCAGCAACAGTAGGTGAAATTGGATAACATCTGTGGACTGTTTTAATATTTAATTATTAGCCAGGTTGATCTTGAAGCCTTAAAAGAAATCCTTGCAGAATGTGGGTCCCTATAGGATAAATGTTCGGTGAACCTTGGGGCGAAAAACTGCAGAGCAGACTTATAAGTGACAGATCTGATCTCTTATTTACATCAGAAATAAGAATGTCAGGTTGGCTGTTACGTGGCCTCAAAGAAGGCACTTAACCTTCTCGCTGAGTCCCCACTTCCTCCTTATAAGGAGGGATGTTGGCTGTGGTTTGGCGTTGTGGTATGAGTGGTATTTGCTTGTGGCTTTTTGTGATTACTTGTTGAAACCGTTCCTTCCCCCCATGGTTGGCGGGCTGCTGTGTTAACCCACCCGCTTACAAACAAGGTTGCTGATAGCCCTGATCATTACGAATAACCGACCTCTTACGGAAATGAAATATCAGTTGGCACTCTGATTAGCGCAGGAGTTGAACGTGTTGACATATGTATATGTGCACAAGCGACAATTTATAGAACTGTCACTGCCAAGAGATAAAGAGCTTATTTGTTATTAGAAAGTAGGCATTTCCCAGCAAACCAGAGTTGTGGGTAAATGACTGTGATCGATTGAGTTGTGTGCGTCATATGTAATTATATTGTTTCAGCT